AAAAAAAAAAAAAATACCTTTTCTTCTGACTTTTGGTTGCTTTTGCAGCAAATTGTCAAACAATTTCACCCTAGTAACTGCGAAAACAAAAGAAAAAAGTAGAGCTTAACGAATATATACAATACATTCCATACGTATATATATTGTTTGCGTGAAAAAAAAAAAGAAAAAAATAACGGAAAAAGGACTCCGAAAATGCCTTCTTTTCGTTTATGTCTTTCTGCAGAAACTGAAGGCGTTGTCCGCATCCGGCCGACTAAACCACGTAATTGGGGACTGAAAGTGCAATGCGAAGCCTGTCGGGAAACGAGTCCACATTTCATTTACGTGGATGAGTCGGAAGAACACGAGAGTGGCGGCGGTGGTACAAGGAATGCCGTTTTTAAATGTTCTTTTTGTAAGGCAGTGATTACTGCTTCAATCGATCCTGAAAGCTACGGCGCTTTTGAACCTGATGGCGCTGGTGATGGAGGGGTTTTAACGATTGAGGTGCGTGGTGCGACCCCGGAAGAATTGGAGATGGACGATAAATGGGAGGTGGAAGCAGAGGGGACAACTTTTCGAGATGTAAATCTTGCAGAGGATTGGATGGAGTATGATGAGTCGGCAGGTGTCGCCGTGAGTGTGACGGGGGCCAACGTTACTTTTCATCGAGCGAAGAAGACAAAATAGGGGAGGGAAAAACTGATGTGGAGTTTCTTTTTTTCTTGTTTTTTTTTTTCTTTTTCCTTTTCTTGGCGTTGCTATTTTTTTTTTTTGACATCCTTCGCTGTGTTCTTTTTTTTTTTTTCCTTTTTTTTTGTGTTTTCTTTGTTTTTCCCCTCCCCTTTTCTGTTTGTTTTGCCCGTGGGAAAAAACTCAGGGAGTTCGGAGGGGGGGAGGCAGGGAAAAGAAAAAAAAAAAAGAGAGAGAAATCTTTGCCACACGACGGGCGCGCCGTTGTTCACATTTTATTTTGTATTTTTTTTTTTTTTCTTTTCTTTCTGTGTTTTGTGTTCGCTGTTTCGCGCCGATTTTTCCCGGGACGTTTTGGTGGCTAAAAAAGGTGGTTTTTCCTCGTAATTTTTTTTTTTTTTTTTTTTTTTTTTCCGGCGTTCCCCCCCCGGGAGGGAAAGAAGGAAGGAAGGAAGGGGCCTGGCGACCCAAACCGGGGGTGGGGGCGGCGCCGGTTTGTCATTGTTTTTCGCCTCTCCCCGGTTCCGCCCCTCGTTTCCCCGACCGGGGGCCCGCGCGGGATTTTCGGGGCGTGGGGGCCGGGCCCGCCGGGAAAACAACGGAGGAACGGGAACCACGGCTCGCCTCCTTCAAGTTTTCCCCGGGAAAAGAAAGGGGGGCGACCCTTCCCGGAGGGGGGGAAAGAAAACAAACAAAACCGCCCCGCTTCCTCGACCCGGCGGGGAATGGCGTCCCCCGCGAAAAAATTAAAAAAAAACAAGGACCGTTTTGATTGGGGGGAGGTGGGGGTGGGGCGTTGGATCCTTTCGGGAAATGGGCGCCCCCTCTTCCCCCTTTTCGGGAACCGCCCCGGCGGCCCCTGTGTTCCCAAAGGAATGGGGCCCTTTGGAAGCCATCCTGTTTTTCTGCTGGCTTGCGGGAAGGGCGGTCCAGCCCCGCCGCCTTTTTTGCGGGCCGGCCCCTTCCTGGGGTTTTTGCATTTGGGAAAATGGTTTTTTTTTTCCCTTTCTTGAATTCTGGCGCCCGGCGGTTTCTGAAAAAGACCCGCCCGACCCAACCCTTTCCGCCCCCGAGCGGGAAACGGGTCAAAAGGGACTTCTCGGCGCCCCCATTCCGTCAGTTCCCAGGGCGTTTCGGGTGGCATGGCTCCCAGGGAAATCGTGGTTTTTTTTTTTTCTTTTGTCCTAGAAGGGGTTCCGATTTGTTGGAGGTCAAGGAAAAGAAAAAAAACAAAAAAACAAGGGTTTCCTTCTTGTTCTCCCGTTCCTTGTTCCTTGTAAAAACAAAAAAACAAGGGTTTTCTTCTTGTTCTCCCGTTCCTCGTTCCTTGTAAAAACAAAAAAACAAGGGTTTTCTTCTTGTTCTCCCGTTCCTCGTTCCTTGTAAAAACAATGCCGGGGCGATTCCGGGGGCGAAAGTCCCCCCCAAAATAGAAAAAAAAAAAGAGACGGGGACCGAGGAAAAAAAAAAAAAAAACGAGAAAGTTTCTCTCCAAAAAAATGGTTCCCTCCATCTTTCCCTCCGCCTCCCCGCCTCCGCTTGCATTCCCTAGGGCGGGTTTCGGGGTTCCTCCTTTCTCTTCTCGTGGTCCGGTGGTGGTTGGGGTCCGGGGTGTTGCTGCGTGGTCCGTTTCTTTTGCTCATATTATTTCTTTTCGCTGGGGCACGGAAAGGGAGAAAAAAAAACAACAACAACAAAGGTAAAGAAAATAAATTCAATAGACATAAAGCGTGCGAATAATTACCAATAATGCCAGAGAGAACAAGAACAAGAAAAAAAACAAGAAGCATTGTTTTTCTTTTTTCTTTTCTAGTAATATGGAGTATTCTTTTTTTTTAAAAAAAAGACCTTGTATGTCCTTCGTTCGAGAGGGTGGCTTGTTTGTGTCACTTCTGTTCATTATTGTTATTATTTTTTTTTTTTGCTTTTTGCTTTCTTTCAACTCTGCAGAAATATAAATGGGACCCGTCCATTTTCCAGGATAAAGCAATAAAAGAAAAAAGAAAACTACTAGAAATGAAATCGCGCATTTGGTTTTTTTTTTTTTTTTTTTTTTT